CTTGCGAGGCACTCACGCGTCACTTGGCTGCTGAGGGGGCAGGCATTCCTAATCGCAATGAGCTCATGACTCATGACGCGAATCGCAATGAGCTCATGATTCGAAGACCCGAAGTTCAGGTGAACATCGGGCATTGGCAGTGAAGATGCACATGGGCGACGAGGCCGGGCAGGGGTTTCCGGTTGTTGTATCCTATTCCTGGAGGCCCCGTGCTCAAAACTCTATCAGCCAGCTCTGCGCCGTCTTAAGGGATCCGCAAGAATCTGACCCCCCTAAACCCTCAACCCTCAACCCTCAACCCTCAACCCTCAACCCTCAACCCTCAACCCTAAACCCTAAACCCTAAACCCTAAACCCTGCAGGCCGTAGAGTCCTTGGACTGGCTGGGGCGAGCCCATCTCGACTCGCGGGACCACGGAACGGGGAGAAGGGGGAAGGTTAGGGTTTGGCTCGAGCTTTGCGAGACTGCAAGCTTAAATTCCACGGCTGCAGGGTTTGTTTACGGGTTGCGTTTGCAGGGTGAATCTTGTTTGGGGGCATTCAGGGTTGGGTTTGGCGTTAGGTGTATTAGAGTCGGCCCCGCGGACCCAGGACGCGTTCTACATCGAGTTTCGGATCTTGCAAGGGTCGCTCGAGCCGCTGGAGCTGCTGGGCGACAGGACGCGAAGACGTGTGGCCTGCGAGCGCCTCCTTCTGGGAAGCCTAAGGCCCCTATAGGCCGAGCCACCGAAATCTTTCTGGTACCATCAACACCTCCTTCAAGAGCCTCTTGCTCAAAGCCGCTCCCTAGAACATAAACGCTTGATGTCCCACCTGGGTTCTGGAAGTTGTGCACATCGAAATGCTCAGCAGATTTGGGCTTTGAGCCTTGGGGAGTCAGGGGTCCAGGACATGGTTCTGGGGTCAAGGCTTCGTATCAAGTTCGGTACGTAGTGGGATTGGGTGCTCAAGGCTTACGTCCCAAAGCCCTAACCCCAACAACCGAAACCTTGATCTCCATGAACCAGCAGGAGCCACAGCCGACTTAGCGACCGCACGACCGACGCCGCACAGACCACGCGACCGCAAAGTAGTAGCAGCAGCGGTGGCAGCAGCGGCCATGGCCTCGGCTTTCCGGTGTCGGGTGCGCCGCTTTGCTCTTTTCCTTCTCGAGAGACCCTACTAAGGAAAGGCCCCTCTTCTAACGAAGCCTTTCCTAGACAAGAGGTGCAATCGAAGCCTTCTGTTCCAAGTTCAGAACTCCTCCACCCCTGCCCATCTCTCCCTCTGTCTCTCTCTCTCTCTGTCGCTCTCTCCTTCTCTCTCTCTCTCTCTGTCACTCTCTCTCTCTCTCTCTCTTGGTTCCGCTCTCGCTCTTCGCTTTCGCTCTCGCTCTCGTGTGTCTCTGTCTGTGTGTGTGTGTGTGTGTGTGTGTGTTTCTCTCTCTGTCTCTGTCTTTCTTTTTCTCTCTGAGGAAGATTTCATGGTTTCCGGGACCGAGGCTCCTAAAATCCGAACAAAAACGATATACTACGACATTCAACACGAAATGCTAGTCGTCTTTTTTTCAAGGCGTAGCCGAAGCCCAGTGAATCCCTTGAGGCGGCCCTCTACGGCTCGCGGCGCAGGCGGGGGGTGCTTTTACCTGGAGATGTCTCAGCAGCTTCCGATTGGGGGATACTGGGTTGGGGGGCTTCTGGGCTAGGGGGCTTCTGGGCTAGGGGGCTTCTGGGTGGGCGTGTTTGGGGTCTTCTGGCTGGGAGTGTTTGGGGGCTTCTGGGTGGGAGTGCTCTCCGTTCAAGTGGTCGGAAGGGTTGAGGCACTGATGGCGCCTTTGAGGCGGAGACGGAGGAGCTGATTCTGCGGCCGGTTTCTGCGGGATGCTGAGAAATTGCTTGGGTTGGGCCCCTTTTGTGTCTGTGTGTCTCTCCCGGTGTGTGTTCTAGAGTTTAAGAGTTTCTGCCCTCAGACCATGCATAAGGCATACAACAACTGGAGGTCACGGAGCTACGTGACAGGGCTTTGCTTTTAAGGCTGCTCGCCCAACCTCTAAAGCCGGGTGTATCAGGATCGCCCCCTGTAGTGCCGCGGCCTTTCTAAAGGCATTAGCACATCGTGCGCCGGGCTCGGGCCGTCACTCTCGCCAGACTGGAGAATGCACAAAGTTTGAGTGGTAGTGGATTACATCTTCAGCTATCAGAACCGGGCTGATAAGTTTAGGTGAGCGGCCACTTCCTAGAGGGCTCAGGCGACAGGGCCTGCTTCGTGACACCTCATCCCCAGGCTCCAGACCAGTCGCCCAGCCGGGAGGCGTGCGGGGGGGAGGGGGGAGGGCTCGGCGTTGGGAGCGTAGCGCAGCGCAGTCGCCTTGACGCTGCAGCCCCGCAAGTTGGCATAGAGCAACACAGCAAGCATGGTTGAGAGCTCGAAGGTCTCAGTCAGCACCAAGAGAAGGATTGTGCTACCCTCTCCAAATCCGTGCAACCTTCTCAACCTCCACCCTAATTAAACCACAGGGTCCCACACTGCAACAGAACCAGGAAGTCCGAATAGCACCGGATCGGAAGGGGACACCCAACTCCGTCGCGGGCTTAGCTTGTGGCTTGTGGCGTGCGGGCTTCAGGCAATCGGGCCTAGGGGCTTCAGGGTCAGAAGAGGGGGGCGTGGATGTATTCTTTCGGGACCCTAAACCCCAAACCCTAAACCCTAAACCCTAAACCCTAAACCCTAAACCCTAAACCCTAAACCCTAAACCCTGTGAGGTTACGAATTAAACAAAGTCACTTCTCGACCCTCAGTCTGAAGAGCTGCGTTCTGGGAGGGTTTTGGCGCTTGAGGCTCATCTTTGTGAGGTCCTTGGCGGCTAAGGGGATGCCTCTCTAGGGTCTAGGGGCCTTGAACTTTAGGATGACTGGTTAGGTTTTCGGGCGTTCGCACCTCCCAAAGCAGTTGCGCATGTGCGCAGACGGCTGTTGTTGGCGAACTTTCGTCCCTCACGCTGCACCACACCACCCGGGGTGTTCTCCGAGCGGGTGGGCCACAAACTCTCAACGACCTTGAGGTATGACAGCTCGGAGCCTACCCTAAACCCTAAACCCTAAACCCTAAACCCTACTAAACCCTAAGGCAACTTCTTCCTGAGTACACACCTTTTCCCGGAACTAATCCCTGCAATGTGGCCACAGTGTCAGCTAGGCGGGTGGCAAAAAAAAAACCCTAAACCCTATATCGGCTCATCAGCAGCAACAAATACATCGGGAGCCCGGTTGGCCAAGCGAAAGGACTGGTTTATGGTTTAGGGTTTAGGGTTTAGGGTTTAGGATCCCCTCGGAGAAAGAAGGTTTCAGCGGCTGAGCGCCAGATCTGATCACAGTAGCAAGCTTCCCTCAGACCAAGGACTTGTCGCGGAGCAGCAAGCAGGCCCCACGCATTGTGACTGCGTGTTGGGGTTTCAGCTTTGGGGGGGAATTTCTGCCGGGGAGACGCACCTGTGCCTTGTGTGCCGCGCCTGCCACCCTCTCGACAAGCCCCCGGAAAAAACCCCAAAGTTCGAAGCACCCATGTGGGGGTTTCCAAAAAATTCCAAAAAAGGGGTACCCTTTTTGGGGGTCCCTCTAAGGGGATTCTATTCTATTGGGGGTAGAAAAGGGGTGCCCCATTTTTCGGAAATACCGGTGTGCAAGCCGTTGCTGTTGCCAGGCCTGGGCCTAGCGCTGACTGTTTCACCCGGCACGAGATGTCTCATGCAATCAATCCATTAGGGTCTAGGGTTTAGGGTGATGGCGTTTCTGAAGTGCGTCTCCACAGACTTGAAGCTTGGGAGGGGCTTTTGAGCTTTTCGTGCACGTTACAGTAGTCTGGGCTGCTTCTGCTTCCAAAAAGACCAAAAAGACATTGAAGTTATCTACGGAATCTGGACCGTTTCAGTTGTGACACGAGCTCGCCACTGTACAGCACTCCTCTGGCCTGCCTGGAGGGGTTTGCGCGCAGACCGCGTGTGAAGGGGGTAGCTGGCTTTGCCATAGAATAAGGTGTTAGGCTCTTTGTGAGACTGCCCCCAAGGTACCTCTGTGCTTCACAAGGTTTATGCTGTCGTGTTGGGGATGCGGTGTGGGGATGTGCTTCCAAGGCCCCCGCTCATATTCAGTCTTGCTGCGCACACGTGCATGGCAACGTAAGGGCTACAACGGCTATTGGCACCTCATGCGCCAGGAGCTGTAAACTCCATCCGAACCCCAATAAATGCCTTAACCGCGACATCAGCCTGTACGTTGCGTGTTTGCCCTGGCATCTAGCATGGCTTTCTGAAGGAAAGCATTGCGAGTAGGAGGCGTGATTGCAGAAGTTTAGGACTTCGTGCGAAAACTGCGCGTGCCGGGCGCAGAAGGGATCAGAGCGTTCAGGGAGTAGCAACACAGGGTGTGGCCCTGGAGCTCTAGTGACAACGTTCGCATTCGCCTCTCGCCTCTGGCTCCAGCAGGTGGAATCTGGCTCATGGGGTTCCTGCTCCATCACCCCTAAATCCCCTAAACCCTAAACCCGAAACCCGAAACCCGAAACCCCAAACCCTTGGCTGGGGTTGATGTGGAACAGGCCTCAGAGTTCCATGCACCCTACTGGAATCCGTCTAGAGGCCTTTACCCAGGATGCCCTCCGCCCTCCAACCAACTTGGTTTCGAGGATTTCGAGGTCAAGGGGCTGCAGCGCTTAGGGCTTAGTGTTTTAGGGTTTACAGGGTGATGGAAAAAAGGTTTTGGGCTTAGTATAAGGTTCAGCGCTTAAGGTTTTCGAGCTCCAGAGCATCTCACATTGCTAGATGTGAACCTATGCACAATGGGCCGAGGGGGGTACAGCAGGTGTCTGGGTTGTCAAACAGAGACCAGGCATGTCGGAGCCACTGAAGCCATTTGTTGTGTCAGGCAGGCAAGCAGCCAAAAAAAGCCTGAATCCTAAACCCTCCTAAACCCCAAACCCTCTCCCACAAACAACCGCATCAGCGCCTGAACATTTGGGCGCCAGCTATGGGGAAGAAGCGGCGGAAGGACGACGAGGAGGCGGAAGGCCAGCTGTCAGGACTGCGGCTTGCAAGGGCGCTTTGAGTCACTAGGGTTTCAGGGTTAGGGTTTGGGGTTTAGGGTTTGGGGTTTAGGGTTTAGTTTGGTAATTAGGGTTGTTCTCTGAAACCGGGTCTTTTTTTTTTTTTTTGGGGGGGGGGGTCATGTGCATGAGGTGGCGTACTAAATGCGGACCCACAAAGGGCCCCAACTTCGAGTAGCACCTTGTTGAATTCGAACTCTCTCCCTTTCTCTCTCCTTCTCTCTCCTTCTCTCTCCTTCTCTCTCCTTCTCTCTCCTTCTCTCTCCTTCTCTCTCCTTCTCTCCCTCCCTCCCTCCCTCTCTCTCTCCTTCTCTCCCTCCCTCCCTCCCTCTCTCTCGCTCGCGCTCTCTCTCTCTCTCTAACTCTGTCTCTTTTTTCTCTTTCTCTGATGGCCAAAGCTGCGGGACGACCATGGCAGCCTCAACATGTCGGAAGCCCTCGACCCCAAGACAGTGTACCCTCTGATTCTAAGCCTTGAAACGAGCTGAGACTTTGGATCCAAAATTTTGGGGCCTGAATAAGTAGAATAGGGTTTTGGGGGTTATTCTAGTATATTTGTAAAGAGACCATGAGGGGATACTATGCGTAATGATTCCGACCCCGATGTTACACAGCCGGACGTTGACCCGGCAAGACGCAACGAAGTTTTAGTTCGAAGCCCCTCTTGCCCGACTTTCCCGGAAGCCAAAAGCTGGCAAAGGGGAGTTGGGGGTTTAGGGTTTAGGGTTTGGGGTTTAGGGTTTCGGGTTAGGGTTTAGGGTTCAGGGTATTTAGGCTGTCAGGCTTACGTCAGGTGGTTCAGGGTTTGCAGCTTCGTCTGCCGGGGCTGCTTAGTTGGAATGGTTTTGTGCATGCTATTTTCTTCTTATAGCAAGGGAGAACGTGAGAACTTATCGAGCCAGCTGGGCAAGTTGATTTTGAGCTGTGAAGCCTTGAAGCCTAATTTTGAACCCTCTTTAGTGTGGCCCCCCCCCCCCGCCCCCCCTGAACAGTCGAGGCTGGATTTGTCCCTGTTTGGACGCTCCCGGGGAATAGAGAGGAGTTTAGATAAGTTTAAAAGGGGCAGTGATGCCCCGCAATCTTTCTTAAAGGCGCGCCACGTGGAATTTTCTTACGGCGCCCGGACGATTTGCCTTTATTGCGGATCCCACCGATTAATTTTGAATCTGGGGCTTCTGGGTGGATGCTGTCAGGGTGTGCAGAGGTATAGAAACCTAAACCCTTCCGCCCTAAAACGCTTGACCTGTCGGGCTCTTTCCGCAGGTGCAGGGGTGGAGGGACAAGAGCAGCCACCTCCAGACGCAGGCCGAGCGGTGGAGGGAGACGATTTTCTGGATGTTGCTGCTACCAGCAGCCAGCTGCCCAAATGTCAGTTTCAAAACCCGCATGCTGAAGCTGTAATGAATCTACTGCTACAGGTGGCGGGAAGAAGGCGAAGCAAAAGGCACCGCCGATCTTCAGATGTTAAAGTTCCCCCTCCCCCCTCCCCCCCCCCCCCCCCCCCCTCCCCCCCCCCTCCCCCCCCCCCCCCAATGGGTTTCAGGCTAGGGTTCTCAGGAGAGTCCTCGCCACAGGATGGGTTGGCATGTTGCAGGAGTTTCCACAGCCGCTGGCTCTGTACTAGGTACGCCCTTGGGACATGTAAGCAATATAGCGAATGTAATTCATTTAGATTGGTATCAGTACTACGATTACTGTACTCATATAGTAAGGTAATGTACAAGTACTAATATTAATATAAGTATATAAGAATAGAACAATGTAAGAATATACGAAGATACGAATTTAATAGACGAATACAACAACAAAAATCCGATCATCGTAATACAGTAGTATAGTAATACAGTAAGATAGCAATATAGCAATACAGTAATATGGTTACATGGGAATGTAGTAATGTAATACGAATTCAAGAATGCAACGGCATTTACCGCGTGGTCACGGACGTACTGCCGGGAATCTTCGCAACACCGCGCGAGGTGATTCACGTCCAGGACCTGACGGATTCGAAGCTCGAGGACTCCCCCTACATTCCCAAGACCCTCGATTTTTGGGGTTGAGGGTGTTCGGGTGTTAGGGTTTTGGGGTTTAGGGTTTTGGGGTTTGGGGTTTTGGGGTTTAGGGTATAGGGCTGAAGGTTGAGATTCCTAGAAGATCAGGAATCGCACAGGTAAGCGCCCTAAACCGTAAGCCGAGTAAACCCTAAACCCTAAACCCTAAACCCCAAACCCTAAACCCTAAACCCCAAATTCAGCTTCAAAACGCCCCAAAGCTCAACTGGACAGTTGCTCGCGGGCCTTCTGTTGGGTCGTGCCAGACCCCAGCACTCCTCCTTGCAAGCGGAACAACCCGACATCCGAAACCTCGTTTACATTCTTGTATTAAGTATAAGAACCGGATGCAAAAGTATATTCTTATATTATCAGATTAAGCACATCAATTTGGCCACGAAATTTGTTAAGATCCCCTACCTTGCTAGTTTTCCTGAAGCTCGAGTGCGCGATTAGCTTGTGTTACGGGAAGGGCATCCGACCAAACATGTCCACCTCGTGTCTTGCTTCTGTTGGGGTTTAGACTTGCGGGGTTTGGTTTGAAGTTCGGTCTTTGTCCTCCAGGCGGCTGGACGTCTTTCTGGCAGTCGGGAAGTCCCGGTCAAGACAAGTGGCGCGTACCCCGCCAGGAGCGCGAGAAGGAGCTCGCCGAGGAGCTACGCAAAGCCCGGCTGACCCAAGGCGCCCTCGTGACGGGCGACCTCGGAACCCTAAACCCTATACCCTGAAGAGTTCATTGTTGCTTCTCTTCCCGAATTCCCCCCCGCGGGGAGGTTTTTGAGAGGGGCATCCGTCTGAACCCTCGAAGCCCCGGGCAGCTCAGGAACCTTGCGAGGGGATCCACCAGCCGGGGGGCTAAGACTTCAAAAGAGGCTTCGGCCGGAGAGAGGGAGAGAGATAGAGAGAAAGGGGAGTAAGTGTTTGGAAGCAAGGAAGGAAGGAAGGAACAGGAAGGGAAAGGAAGGAGAAGGAAGCAAGGAAGGAAGGAAAGGAAGGGAAAGGAAGGAGAAGGAAGGAAGGAGAAGGAAGGAAGGAGAAGGAAGGAAAGGAAGGAACAGGAAGGAGAAGGAAGGAGAAGGAAGGAAAAGGAAGGAGAAGGAAGGAGAAGGAAGGAAGAGAGCAATTGACAAGATATGTGCCCTGGGGAGGTGGCATGATTGCCAATTGCAAAGGTTGTCTCGGCTTTGGATTGTTGAGTTGCGAGGCGCAGGCCGGAATCGCATGGACGAGTCGGGTTAGTCGGGTGCATTGCTATGTTGGGCGCGGGGACCGAGGCCAATAACCGCATTCTGTGGCAGCGGCAAGTGACCTACGCCAATAACGTTGGGACCCTACTTCCTTTATTGTGGTCTGGCTGTGGTGGGTCAAAGGTGCAGACCAGCCCTCTCGACTGGTTTTTTGTTTGAGGTTGTTTTGTTGACATTTTTTTTTTTTCTCTCTCTCTCTCTCTCTCTCTTCTGCTCAGGGTGTGGGCTTGGAGCTCTGCCCACGTATGGTCTTCACACCCCCTGCTGCTTTTGCAGTGCTTGTCCCGGAAGAACTGCAAAGGGTTCTGCCAGTGAGTGGCAAAGTGAGATTGGCCCCATAGAAGACAGTTGCCAGCAGCAAGAGGCAGTCCATCGCGCCGAGCAAGCCCACCAAGAGGTCCGACGGGAGATCGAGAAGAGGCGCCAACGTGATGAGACGTTTTGTAGAACAAGCCTTGTGTAGTCACGAGCTGAGCTGGACGCCAGATGTGTTTGTTGTGGGTTGGGTTGCAGGTAGATTTGGACAAGCGGACCTGGAATTTGTATGAACTACTCAATACTGCAGCGTCTCTCATGCAAGTTATGCTGACACAGGCAGTAGTAGAGGTTGTCGAGGTTCGAGACATAAGCTTTTGGTCCCGACATCTGAGGGGGCTCGGGCAGCTTATCCAAGACCAAACCTGTGGGTCTTTGGGAGGCGGTTCAGACGCTGATGCTGCGCTTGCTGCCGCAAGGCCCTCTATAGCCTTGGAAGATGTTTGGCCATGAGGTCGTTCTTGGGAGGAAGATGGGAGATCTTGGGGCTTGTCCTGGGAACTCCCCACAAGGCCACTTCACAAATAGCTTTGCTGGAACCACTTGAAGCTGCCCCGAAGTCCACAGGGCCTACCATAAGCACGACATACCCTGCACCCTGCTGTGAGGCCAGCAATGCGGCGACTGCAGGAGGCGTCTTTGAGCCAGCATGGCAGCTGGCGTGAGCGCTGAACTGCCCGCGGTCCCGAAGACCAGTTTCACGCCAAGCTCTTCTGGCAGAGGAGGGAGCAAAGACAGCAAACCTCATCTCTAATCTCATCTCTAATCTAGGGGTCGGAATAATTCCTAATATACGATAATAACCCCTAAAACCCTGTTTTGGTGGTTAAGGCCCCTGTATTGCACAATCGGTTGCAGCCTAAGCCCGATGCCCATGAACTCGAAAAGCCCACGTGCCGGTTGAGCCGCTGCTCTGCCAGACGAGCATCCCAGGGGCAGGTGTCCTCGACGCGCGGTGCAGGAGGGGGAGCGGTCAAAAAACAGCTGAGCCGGGCGAAGACCCGAAGACCCTGACGGACCCCAAGCCTAGAAAAATATCAGCTCAGGGTTTAGGGTTTAGGGTTTAGGGTCTAGGGTTTAGGGTTTAGGGTTTAGGGTTTAGGGTTTAGGGTTTAGGGTTTAGGGTTTAGGGTTTAGGGTTTAGGGTTTAGGGTTTAGGGTACTTCGGCCCCTCCACAATCCGAAGCCACCCGGGAACAACCTCAAATTCAGCTTTCACACCTTCGGCTCTGAAGTGGGCTGCTGTCCACCGAGTCGTTCATGCCCCACATTTGGGGGTTTCCGAACTTAGGGGGGTACCTTATTGGGGTCCTTTTTTCATAGGGGGGATCCTACTATCTGTGGGTCTATATATGAAGTAAGGGTCCCCTATATTTAGTACACCCCCCCCCCCCCACATGTATCCCACTAATTCCCCCAGAAGACCTCAAGTGATCCTCTTGGGTTGCCCAGGATGACGCCGTCCACATCCCGCATGAAGCGTGCCCGCCTCGGGGGAGACTGGCAAGGGGCGCGGGGCTTCAAAGGAATTGGGGTTTAGGGTTTAGGGTTTGGGGTTTGGGGTTTAGGGTTGTGTTTTAAGGTGTTTTTTGAAGAACTTCCGGTCCCCCCTCCAGCGCGGCGTCGAGTTGCGAAGCTGCGGGTCAGGTGGTTGCCATGTTTTTTCTCAGTGCTTATGTGCTTGCATGTTGCAGCTGCCGCATGTCCAGCTATCCAGGTAGGTTGCTTCTGCTATTGTTACCATAATTTGTGGCTGATTGAGCTCCTCTCCGCCTGCTTTGGGGCACTCGACCTACCTTCTATTGCAAAGCATGCGCAGATGCAATAATGTCAGACATCCGGGACGGGTAGGGGTCCACGACGATAAATGAAGATGCACGGTCACAGCGTGTTTTTTGGCGGGGTCTCTGTGGAAGGGGCCTGCAGGGGCCCACGGCAGCGGATTTTGGCTCCTCCTATGAATTTGGGCAGGTCCTACAGGGGGGAGGGTGGGGCGTGGAAGGGTTGGGAAGGAAGCCAGATCCTGGCCCGGGCGAATATCAATATCAATATCAAGAACCACCAACCGCTAAACTAATCGCTGATATTGTGAAGCCTCTGGAGCACAGCCATGTGGTACCCCTTAGTTTCAGGCGCCGTCTTCCCAAAACCGCTCACTCCCCTTCTGATTGCATCTGCCTCGGCAGTCCCAGCTTGCCAAGGTGCTGAGACGGAGAGGGGGATTTCCAGGCCGAGAGGGTTGAGGGGAGGACCCCTTTGTTTCACCCTTGAAACATTGAAGTCTTGCAGCTGACTGTAGGTGGCCAAAAAGCAAGATACCCTGATAGCCTCAACTCTTGAGATGGGACTACGATTGAACTATGGGTTTGGTTGCTGGTTCAGCTCAGGCAAAGAAAGGTCTGAAGTCAGTGTTGGGGGTGTACTATGTATGAGTGAAAAGGATGTGCCGAGGTCTCACAGGGTATGCTGGTTCTCCTAGGGGCCTTCACCGTATTCGGGTTAACCAGACACGTCCCATGCCCCGATAGGCGATCCTGAGCCCGTGAAGCCCACTCTAGGAGCTACATATATGTCCTACCCCCTAAAGGCCTACTGTATCCGAACTTCTTCACTTTTGCCTTGGGCTCCTCCCGCAGCGCAGGCAACGCCGTGAGGAGTCCAGTGAATCTCGAGGCGACAAGGCCGGGCTGTGAAGAATTTTGGAGCATTTTGGGAGTCACTTGGCTTGCTGTTTCGGCTCCAAGGCGGCATTGGGTTTGAGGCTGGCCGGGGGTTGGCAGCCATCAATGCATTCCGATGCGGCCTCAAGCTTCCGGGCTGAGGGATTCAGCAGGTGGCAAAAGTCCAAAATCCCAGCCCTGGGGTGTAGAGTTGCGCTTGCTCTTGTTGCCCAAAACCCAAAACCCCTAAACCCTAAACCCTTTTGCTTCAGGGGGAGATGTCTCCGCGGAGTCCCCGGGTGGAGGAGGAGCTATCACCGCCCAGGTCCCAGGTGTTCTGGCACTCTTTTGGCCGCAGCAGAAGGCAATTTACTTACTATAGGGTTTAGGGTTTTGGGTTTATGAGAATACGGGTTTGGGTGATATTCTAGTATAATTGCCAAGGGGCCATAAGGGAATATCATTAAGTAATGATTTCGACCCCTATATCACTTTGGGGATTCCGACAACAGGGCTACTTTTTTTGGGGGGTTCCCTTATTGAGGATGACAGTATTTTGGGGAAGACGAGGGAGTCCCTTACTTTCGTGAACCCTTACTTGGGGCTCTTCTTAGGGAATGAGGTACCCGTTAGAATTCCTTACTTCATAAGGGTATGTATGTTTGTGTATGTATGTATGTATGCATGCATGTATGTATGTATGTATGTATGCATGCCTGTGTATGAGGTAGGGGACATAGGATACCTAAATCCCTCATTCCCTGCTAAGAACCAATTTGCTAAGGGCTGAGTGCGAGCGGGGGCATGCGTCGTGTAGCGTTGAAGCACTGGCCAGACGTTTCGATCACTGTCCAGGCTTTCCAGTGTACACCGTGCCGTAGCGTGCTCCATCAAGGGGCATCACTACAAGTGGGGGCCTAAGCTGTTGGCAAGCACATGCACTGCGAAGGCGCTTGAACACTCGAGCCCGAAACCCTACAACAACAAAACGAAGCCCTAAACCCCAAACATGTTAGTGGCACTTCCTCACAACCAGTAGATTTCCCCTAGATCAGCGAGGTGGGAAAAATCCCCCAACGCTCTTGACCCGAAGCCCCAAGCCCCAAACAAAAAGTCTCCGCAGCGTGGCTAGCCTGGATGGCGGGTGACAAAAACACAACAAAAGCCCGAAGCCCTGAGCCCTAAACCCTAAACCCTAAACTCTAAACCCTAAACCCCCTAAACCCTAAACTGCCCTGTGGGGCTCCAATCTGACTCATTGACAGTATGTGCCTCGCCTTGCTTGTCCGAGTGTGAGGCATTAAGCCCTAAACTCCCTAAACTCCCTAAACTCCCTAAACTCCCTAAACCCCCAAACTCCCTCAACCCTAAACTCCCTAAACTCCCCAAACTCTCCAAACTCCCTAAACTCCCTAAACTCCCTAAGCTCCCTGTACCCTAATCTCCCTAAGCTCCCAAAACCCTGTGGCGGCTCCAGGAACAAGTCCCATTTCAGCTCCGGCCTGTGGCGTGACATGCCCGTCTTCACGCCCTGGGGATGCCTCGAGAGCCTGCCCGGACTCACAGAGCAGGGGGCTTCTGGCAAGTTTTTTGTTTTTTTGTTTTTTTGTGTTGTTTTTTTTTGTTTCAAGGGTTTAGGGTTTAAGGTGTTTTTTGTAATTCTTTTTTTTTTTTTGGGGGGGGTCTCTGTTCAAAGCAGATGTTCAAGTCCCGGAGATTCTTGGGAAGCTCGCTCATTCGGACGTCGTTCTTTCTTGAGGCTCTGGTGGTTTCTTGAGGGCGTCCGGACGTTGACACATCAGGGGCTCTGCTCTTCATCAGAGCTTGCAACTTGTTGGTATTTCATTCACGCAGATGCCGATGAGCAGTCGGTACAAGGAGTGCCGGCAAGATACATGTTCACACAGGAATGTCTCAGAGGGGAAAAACCATGCATGGGTTCGTCGCGTCAGCATTCCTGCATATCTCAGCGGTATGCCTTTGTTGGCCGCTTCGGTGTAGGCCGACAATGCAGAAACCTCCCAAACCCTCCAAAAGCACGAGGGTGCAAGGCAGCGCTCAACCCTACCCAAGCCGACCTTTCGGCAGGTTATTTTGCACGGAAGCCCCTGATCAGATTTGCAGATTCGCGCGCCAGAAATGTGCACCACACCTCCAGGCACCAGCCGAGCATGAGCTGCGCAACCGCGAAGGCCGGGATGTTTCACTTTTTGCATCCCTGCATCCCTTGGGCTTTGCATTTGATTGTTTTTCGTCTTCCCGGCGGCATCGGGGGCAGCTTCCTTCGGGTGCTCCCCACCATCAGCACATGCCATGTCAGCGGCTGTCAGCTGTGTGTGTGTGTGTGCATTCGAATCCCGAAGAATTCACACACCCGATGGCCCCATGCTTCATATGCTTCAGGGCCTGGCCGCCACGGTAGTGCTTTCTCGCACTTCCCGCTAGGTTGCGCGAGGGTCCAGATCTGCAGCGGGCCGAGAAGCATGTTTGCTCGAGAAACTCTCGATCTGCACAGGGTATTTGTGGAGAGGGGCTGCTGTGTTACGAAAATGGGTTGGTTGCGAGTGTAGGCTGAGTGGGACTGGCAGGAAGCTGCTAGTGTCTGCTATAGCATCCTGGCAGCTTTTCTGAGCTTCTGGACAAGCCCGTGCTTGATTCTGGCACACCTACCAGGACCTAGCACGCCACATGGCCCCGCGGACCTCAATGCAATTCCTCCAAGCACAGGCAACTCCTGC